GTTCAAAACATAATTTGGATGATCAAACAGTTTCCAAAATTTATTTGCTTATAGTCGAATTGAGCGGCTCGATGAGATGAATCCATTGAGCTAAAGATCGTTGATTTCTAATCATTAAGCTATATTTTTATTCAGATTTATGCTATGCAATTAATTCATTTCTTTTTTAATAAAAAATCTCAATATATATATAAGTTCTAGCGAAAATCTTCGACTTCTATTTGAAACTTTATTTTAAAAAATTTTGGGTAGTTGAAATTGAAACTCACTTAAATTAGCTGAAATAAAAATATTTTAAAGAATGTTGAATAAAACTCATTTAAATATCTTTCGCTCTTCTCTTGCCTCCAAACAGAGAGCCCCCTGATAATGAGACAGCAAATAAAATTATTTTAATTTTTCCCCCCCCCCCCCCCCCGAATAAAATTTCTGGCTCCGCCACTGGTTATAGTATGTAACTACCCCATATATCTGGACAAGGCATCCGCTGTCTTGTTCTTTATCCTTGGCTTATACTGGATTTCAAAATCATGTTCCAATAACTTTGACAATCATCTATGGTTCTCCTCTTTCATCATCCTCTGCTACAATAAGTACTTCAGGCTCCTCTGATTCGTCTTAACAATGAAATGTCGACCCAACAAGTAGGGTCACCACTTATGGATTGCTAGCACAATGACCATCAATTACCTCTCATAGACTGACTTCAGCCTGGCTCTAGGTGTCAACACCTGACTGAAGTTGTCACGACCCGGCCCGGTTAGCTCGTAGATACGAGGCGGGAACGAGATCGGACATGTAATAAAATTAACTAGTCATTCTTCTTAACAAAAAGAAACTATTCATTGAACTCATCAAAGACAAAAAGCGCCTCTAAATCTTCTCTAATTTCATTCCAAAAAAGAGTTTTCAAAATATACAAGATGGCTAACTTTAGGGCAAAATGGGTAGAAAGGTTAAAGTTTACTTAAACCTTCTTCGACAATTTATATCTTCCAAACTGAGCGAAATTTGGTATAAGTTCTTTATACCATTTTGCTCGAAATTTCGAGACGAATCTAACGAAATTTATTTCGTCGAATTCCGACGACGTCGAAATTTCACTTAAGTTCGTCGCGGCGCATCGAGATGCGTGCGACGCACTCAAATGACGTATTTCGGGTTTTACAGAAGTAGGCGATGGGTCGATGGTTCTGCATGAGTACTCCTCCCAATGCATACCCTGAGGCATCTGTCTCCACTATGAAGACCTTAGTGAAATCTGGTAGGGCCAAGACCGACACGGTGGTCATGACCTTCTTCAATTTCTCAAAAGCTGATGTGGTCGCCTCCCCCCCCGGGCATGAAACCATCCTTCTTTAACTATTCTGTTGGTGGCCATGCGATGGTGCTATAGCCCTTCACGAACGTCCTGTTATAGCTAGTTAACCCTAGCAATTCCCTCAGCTCTGAAATTTTTTGGGCAGTGGTCATCTCAACATAATCTCAATTTTGGTATGATCCATATCTACACCCTCTTAAGAGACTACATGTCCTAACTCCTAAGTACTCCACACTAGTTAAGGTTAAATAACACTTCTTCAGTCTGGCCCTTAGCTGATGCTCTTATAACGCCGAAAAAATCTTCCTGAAGTGCTCCCAATGCTCTTTATCCGACCTGCTATAAATCAGAATATAATAAAAAATATCAGCATAAATCTCTTGAGATAGGGTCGGAAAACATTGTTCATGAGGAATTGGAAGGTGGCTGGGGAATTATTGAGGCCAAAAAGCATCACTAGAAACTCATAATGCCCCTCATGAGTTTTGAAAGCAGTCTTTGACACAACTTCCATTTTTATTCTGATCTGATGGTACCCTGACTTCAGATCTATCTTAGCGAAGATAACTGTCTTACTTAGCTCATCCAACAAATCATCTATCATTGGGATAAGAAACTTGTCTGGCATAGTTTCCTTATTTACCACCTTATAGTCCACGCACAAACTCCAACTCTCATCCTTTTTCTTAACCAGTAAGACTGAGCTAGAAAAATGACTCACACCGTGCCTGATAACCCCTGCTACCAGCATCTCTCTTATCAACTTCTCAATTTCATCATTCTGAAATTGAGGATAGTGGTAGGGCTTGACACTGATTGGTGACGCACCTTCCCTCAAGGTGATAGTGTGCTCCTCCCTTGAAGGTGGCAATCCTTGAGGTGACAGAAATATCTCACTAAACTGTTGAATCAATGGTTGTACTGAAAGAGGGATGTTCCCACCCTCCTCAAATTTGACCCCTTCCAGCTTCTGTAGCTCCACCAGATAACCTTCCCCACCTCTTGTATGCTTTTTACCATGGTTTTTGATGCCACAGTTTTGGAGAGCCTTACATCTCCCCTGATCACTACCCTTCTCCCTTCCACCACTAGCTCCATTTTCAATGCTCCCTAATTGACCTTGGTGTTCTCTAAGGTCTGTAGCCACTTCATCCCCAAGATGACATCAATACTCCCTAACTCGAATGGGAGAAAATCCTCCCTCACCTGGACCCCTTGTATGGTCAGCACTACTGCCCGACAAATCTCCGTCCGTCGCCACCTTCCTTGTACCCATTATCACTCCACAACACCCCGTATCCACCAATGTCACCCTCAATTGGTCCACAACTTAGTTGGAGATGAAATTGTTGGTAATCACACTGTCAATCAACACCACCACCTCACTGTCTGTTATTTCCCTCTTCACTTTCATGGTATGACTCAGAATGAATCATAGCAGTGAGTTTATGGAGACCTTTGCCACGTCAAGATATAGCTTGTCCTCCTCCTCTCCCCCTATCTCACTCTCACCCCCCTCCTCAGTTTCCTCGTCATCACAGACGGTAAGAACCTGAAGAGTTTGGTCCCGACATATGTGCCATGGAGTATACTTCTCATCACATTTAAAGCATAATTCTTTCACCCTCTTATCTTGCATCTCCCTTTCATTCAATATTTTGAAGTTCCCCCTATTCCTCCTCTTACTGGCTTCTCCCTTGGGGTCTAACGAATGTTGCCTGATGCAGGCCTCTTGTGTGCTAAGAGAGTGGTAGTCATCCTGTAAGAGCCACCTGAATTGCTTCCTATGGCTCCTCTCTCCTGGTACTTCTGATCCTCCACCAGTTGTGCTAGCTCCATAGCCTCTCCCAAGTCACGAGGCCTTATGAACATAATCGTTGCCCAGATATTTGATTTAAGTCCCTTCATGAAATTCCCCTCTAGAACAGTCTCCGATAGTCGATCCAATCGACTCGCCAGGTACTCAAATATCTCGCGATAATCTATCACTGAGCCTTCCTGTACTAGTGCAAAGAACTGCTCATAGAAGTCCCCTCCCCTGCTTGTTTGGAAATGTCCAATAAGCATTCCTTGAACTCCCTCCAACTCCATGTGGGCCTCCTTGTGTCTCTCCACTAGTAACAAGCCAACGCCTTCCCTTCCAAGCATAAGCTAGTTGCCGTCAATTTCTCCTCCATCAACCCATTGATGGCGAAATACATCACTACTATGTAGATCTACTCATGGGCATCATCCCCTTGAAAAATGGGCATCCTCAACTTCCAGACTTTCGGATCTACCCTAATTCCTCCATATTTTCCCCTTCCCCAAGTGTTTAGTCCTCCCCCAAATGTCCTGATCCTCTCTTCCACGCTCATACCCATACCTATCTTCATTTTCACCCTCCTTTCTTCAAAATAAGCACCCCTCCTACAATAATCCACCTTTTTTCTTTCCTAATCAGCACCCCTTGGTTCATGCCCCCAATAATCATGCATCTCTCCTCTATGATCTCACCTCGTTTTCACTCCTACGAATTTCAGAATTCATATGTCTCGCTACCGGACCTCTTGCCTCTGATGTTGCCGTTTGATTTTGATTGTCCAGTATCTTCTTCACCATCTCATGAAGATCTGAAACTTTGCCTTCCATGGAGGATATTCTATCCTCCACTGTTGCTTTCATTTGGCTCATATCCCCCTCAAGGCGTTCTTCCAATGCATTCACTTTCTTGGCCGTCATCGATACTCGGATTTTTATTGGACTCAAAAACCTGGATCGCGAACCCAAAATCAGCAAAACAGTCCCTCTTCGGACAAAGTTCAGCCACTGGAATTCACAAAAATAGCCCAAAAACAGTCCAAAAAACTTCTTTGATACCAATTTGATAGGAAACACTTAAGAATCTCAAGTGAAAACCTATTAATCTTGGAAAAACAAAGGGAAACATCCACAAAACTTTGAGGGAAAAAAAAGCAATTTATTGCAATAATTAGAGATAATGGAAGGAAAATACCAACATACAGTTGATTCTCAATTCAAGAGGAGGGTCTATCTCTCCTAATCCCTAGACGCCGCTAGAGCCCAAGAATGTCAAGCACCAAGACAAAAAAAAAAAAAAAGCCAAATCCCTCTACAGCCCTAGCCCGCCCCTCCTTCCTAATGGGATTCCCTAGTGGGCCCCACAATTGCCTTGGGCGGCAATTCCTAGGGTACGAACCTGCTTGTTCCGCCTCATGTAAACCTGAGCAATGGGCCGGCTGGACTGGTCAACACATGGATATAAACTTACCCTAGGCGATGCATTTTAGTCTTTTCTAGAATGACAAGTTGTTAGGTCTTCTATTTATAGCATACTGACAGTTTTTTAGGACGCTTTTGCCAGAGAAAAGCCTTTAACTGCTGAACTGAACTTACATGATGGAAAATTCCTCTTTCATAGCTTAATTTTTTTTCCTTCAATTTTGTTGGCTGTAAATTGTGCTGATTCTCACAAGTTTTTTAAATCTGTATCCTATTTGACTGCTAATTAATTTCTTATATTGACTTTGCTGAAGATTGGTCAGATGTGTTTGTCATTGAAGTTTGGTTTCATTACAAATTTACTTTTAACAGCGTATACTGTGCTGCATGTTTGTTTCTTGTGTCGGTTTGACAAATATTATAAAAAATGAAATCCTTTATTTCTATTTTTTCAAAGTGATTGGTATTATCAAAAGGAAGGCCTTGATAAAAGAGTTAGCTGCTGCGTACCATGCTGAATGTATTGCCTGTGGTCAGGAACTTTTGCAACTTCAGAAAAAGTTGGAAGAGGTCAGTTTTTTTTCTTCTTATATTCATCCTCTTGTATTGCTTACAAACTGAAATTGCAATTAGGTTTTGTCAACTGATATACTGATCTTGCTTTAATTTCAAAATTCCTAGGACTTTGTAATCAAGATTCAGGATGACTAGTAAGCTTCAACATATTTATTCCTTCACTGGATTACTTTGTGTGTTGATCAAGATGCACTTGATTTTAGCAATCAGAACATGAGGCCTAAGCTTTTTGGTAGATGAGAGGCCTGCTTTATCATTCGCTGGCTTTCACATCCGCTTCAAAATTATTTTAAATTTCTTATATTAGGAATATGAAATTACCTCTAGGTTAAGTATTAGCAATATTTTTTTAAGATAATTATGAAAAAATATATAAAGCAACAATAAATTTCTTCATGTGTTTTTGTTTTTAAAGGCAATGTGATGTTTACCTCAAGAATCAATATTCTGGGTAGGAATAATGTCAGTCATAGGTATGTTGGAGGTTAACGAATCTTTGATGTTATATAAAGTGCATATGATAGAAATGACTAGTGTTGTAAATTATTCTATAGGGACCAAAGAATACCAATTCAAAAATGGCACTAAGTCACCAACAAGCATTGAGTTTTAATGTCTTAGTATTTGTTATGGAGGTGATTTAAGATTACAACAAATTTAGAATTAGGTACCTTTTTATATGATTAGTATATAATGTTGGAGGGATCATGCGTTGTTACCTATTTGTGATAGGTTTATATCTCTGAAACAATTGTATTGAAAAAATGGGATGTATAACGTAAAAATTGGCGGTAAAATGGAGTTCTTATGACATCATATGATAAGTGCCATTGATATTTAAAATGTAATTTAATGAAATAACTATAATTTCAAGTATGGCATATGAATTTGATTATTTGATCAAAAAACATGAGTAAAAATCAAGTTGAAGGTGGTTGAAATGACTGAGGATGATTATATGGTAAAGCAAGTTTAGAAGTGATTGCATTGCAAAGATTGTGTGAGCGTTACATTTTATTGTGGATAATAATGTTTAGCTATTTGAGCTTGTACAATAGAGATTAGAAGGTGAATCCAAGTGTTCGGAGGAATTTGAAAGACGAGATTGATCAAAGGTGTTAGAATTTTTTTTTTCCTTGGGGTGGGTGTGGGAAGGATGGGGCAACCTTGTAGAGTTAGCACCTGACATCATACACAATGAGAGAGAATGGGGAAAGGGGATTCATAATGCATAACCTAAATAGTTGGGATGAGGTTGCTTGTGATTTAATGCAGTTGATGTTGCAATGAGTGAGGCAAAACATCCTTAAAAGTAATGCTCTTTAGTCGATAAATTCACAATATTAAACATGACATTCTTCACAAATATTGCAGATTTGGCGTTGGCTGTTTATGATAGATTTAGACATCTTGAAATTTTATTCAAAAAAAAAATTAGGATGTAGATGAAATCATTGTTGATAAATTTAAAATTGGGTGGTAAAGCAGAAAAGTTCCTGTGAGATCATATGATTAGAGAACGCCATTGATACTTAGAATATAATTTTATAAAATAACTATAATTTCTGGTGTGCTATATGGATTTAAGAATTTGGTGACAAAAATGACAAAAAACAAAGTTGACGATGGCCAAAATAAGAATATGAAGACCGACAACGCTACTATAGAGTGCTAAATAATTGGAGAGAATGTGGTGGGAGCAACATACATTATTGGGACAAGGTTGTAGAAAATAACATCATGCTATGTGGGTTTTGTACAACAGAGATCAGATGGTACAACCAATAATGGGAGTAAATATGAATGGAAAGAGGTACTCAAAGATACATTATCAGAATTTGTGGGGAAAATAAATATAGTTAACACTTAACACGACATAGAATGGGAGTGAATTGGTAAAAATAATTAAGAATGCAGACCCAACATTGTCAGGATAAGTCCAGACATGATAAATAGGAGTAAGTTGGGATTAGGCTTTTGATGACCTAACGCAAGTGATGGTGTAATCAGTGAGATAAAATCCCTTAAACATAATATTCCTTACTCTATAAATTCAGAATATTAAGTATGGCATGCTTCATATAAAATGTTTACCGTCTGATAGATATGGCTTCAACGAAGATTTCCATTCATGTGCTTCAATGTGGTTGCAAAATTCAAAGATTTGTCCTGTAATATTTGATTTCTTGCTTTTTTCCATATTGGTGGAGAACTTTATTACCTGTCTAACTTTGTTTATATTTTTTATAAAAAAATGTTGTATTCTAGTTTTCAAATAAGTGGAATGTCACAGTTGCACATTGGGCATGGTAGATATCAAGAAGTCAACAAGACGTGGCTATCTGACGATTTTAAAATTAATCTATACTAAAGATAAATGTTCAAAATAATAGCTATCCACCAACAATGCTGTCAAAGCATCTAAAAATTCTTGACATTCAAATAATTTATGCGCCAAAAATTTATAATAATTCATCAAAGAAGAGACATTGTTTATAAATAACTTTATAATCTCAACCACCTCATCATGATGAATGAAGCAGGTATCTAGAAACTCTCCTTTTCATGATGCACAACTAATAATTTAAAATTGACAATATATATGTATTGGCTTAAATGAAATGAACTCAGGAGGTGTGAAATTTGTTGACTATGGTATAAATAATAATAAATAAGATATAACACGATCAATAACTTGTTTCAGCAGACTTGGTTTACTATAACAAACTATTATAATTAATGTTGTTACTAAAACATATAATAAGAGCTGCTAAATGAGACATTTATTAAAAATGAAAGTCTTATAATTGGGGTTCATGAAAATATGTAAAATGTAATGAAATTTAATATTAAAATAATAATGATTGTTCACGCCATACTAATATATGAAGGAATGTTTCATATTAATACCATAAAGAATAGTTTTACATCAATGAGATTATTACCTTTGCGTCAATCACTTAGATTAACTTTGGTGCAATAAGAAAGGATGTTTTTATGGGCTCCGAAAATTCACACCACGGCCTCCCATCTTTCAGGAGAGTTTTAACGAGTTATGTTCAAGGTGAATTTTCAGAAGGTAGATTGGGTTTGTAGATAAGACACTATCCAGAGATTTCACCCTATCTTGTGAGGACTTTAAGATCTGAGTTCTGGTTTCCTATAGGCGCAAGCACCTATAGTTAATTATGCCTCCTGATAGTGAGAGAGAACTTTAGATTAAGGCTAGTTGTCAAACAAATACGTAGGGATATGTGGTATCTGTCGTATAGTAGCAGCATTAGTTTAGTGTTTGAGATTTAATATTTAAAATTGAAAATGTCTCCATCTTGCATTTAAAGCGGATGGTGGGGGGAGTGATGATGAGCCCGATTAATATCCCATGATTCCGTCATCCTGAGCCATCATAGTCCCTAGTCAACTTAGTCAGAAGAGATAATCGACCCAACCTGATAGAAGGATCATTGTCGGTAGCCATGAGTTGTTTCGTTCAAGTATACCTTGTAGACCGAGGGTGAATATTTGTTTAAGGGGATAAATCTGAATCCACCTTAGCTAACAGATGGCTTTGTCTTTTATCGATTATATCCTATTGATTCATATTTCAAGGATTTAACTGTAATACAATGTATTCATTGAACCAGGCCACTAGGTCAGAGGGTTGCGGTCATAATTGTTAACCACGTGGAGCCGATCTGGCCAGGCCACGGGTTCTTTGCTGAGCCATCCGACCAAACCGTCGATTAGAGTATCAATGTCACGTTCTTACTGCAGGATACTGTTTGAGAATGAATCTTAGTGATAGAATCGACCAGACATTATCTCTTTGTTAACTAAAGTTATATTTGAATTTTTTCACCTCAACAAATTATCATGGATGATGGATGGATTTTGTTTTAAGTATTTGATGATTGAATTTCAATTTTAAAATATTTTAGGTTTCAATATTTTCTTGGAGTTTTGAATTTTCATGGGCATTTAAGAGGCATTTGCTTGAATGTTTGTGGTCCATTTCAGTTGAGATGTTTTATCAACGTGGCCATCATTGGGGTATTTATGGGAAATTTTCATTTTATCGGTTGAACCTTGTCGATTCTGTCTCCTTGTCGACAGAAGATCAGGTTCATTGTCGATTGTATGCTTTTATTAGTGAATTTTCCTGATTATAGGTCTTGAAGGCATAATATGAATGTATAAAACAAATATCTCTGTCGACACTACGATCGTATATTTGTTTGGAAGTTCAAGCTGTGTTGACTCCCATCTATCCATATAAACGGATCAGGCTCGAACTTGAGTTCACTTCTTGACCCGTGCAGTATCCTCAAACATCACGTATGTGCACACATTATGCTCATCGGGGCCCATACGGATGTTTAGGGGGCATTTTTGTAATTATTTGTTGAATTTTGTCGACTCTGTCTAATTGCTGGCATAAGATCATATTCGTTGCCGACTTTAGGTCTTTATCAATTATTTTTTCTTGGCCTAACATGATTGTATGAAGCAAATATCCTGGTCGATATCGTGATCGTATATTTGTTTGATAGTTCGAGCCGTGTCGACTCCCATCCATCCACATAGAAGGATCAGGCTTGAACTTAGATTTATATCTTGACCCACGCAGCTTCCTCAGATGTCACGTGTGTACCTACAACACGTTCATTGCGGCTCATGCGGGTATATGATTGCACATGCATTTTCTTGTATTTGTTTACATACTTGCATGTACATTTACAATTTCATCCGTGTATTAAGGAGCTTGCACGTGCACTTCTCTATTTGTGTGTATATGTGTTGCAATATATGTGTGGGGGTATTTTAAAATTTTAATGTTGATAAATTGTGCGAACAACTATCATTTAAATGTACGCGACACTCTATTTGAGAGCTTATAGATGCCTTCTATCCGTTTGCATAAGTGTTGCGGATCCGATGGCATTGCATTGTAGGTGTGAATTACTTGTTGCTTTATAAACGTAGGTTGTCACATACTAATGAGCCCCCTGCAATTACTTGTAGATGTTTTAATTCATCACAAGCTTGATGCCTATGTTTGTAGATAATGCTTCACGCCAACCGCGATCTTATTACTTATGCTTATAGAGGATTTGCATTATGGGCTCTCCACTGTCATTTGTGGGCAAGCTGTGCACCGATCAAGTCTTTTACAACAACTAGTAAAAGCTTAAATTTGATACAGTCATTTGGCATTTTGATCGTCATATTCCATAAGCGGGTTATGGTACATATATAACAAATCTTTCACATGTTATTCATATGTATTCGTATGCATCATAATTTTGTCTTTGCTTGCAAGTGACACCTCGTATGAGTATCTATATGCATAAGAAAAATTTATCATGTTTGCAGCATATGTTAAAACAACACCGCCATTATCAGGTCCTAAGGCTTGGATGAGAAAAGTGGAGAGTTGCATTAGATAGTTGACAGCTAGCGTAAAACTTGTTGAATAATCATGATATGAATCCTTTAATACATTATGTTAATGCTAGGGCGTTCCCTGGAAGCGATGCGCTGTATGACCTGAATATAATGAGAAGTGTGCAAGGGTCATTGCATCAGTGCCCGGGTGCATTGTTAAATAGGCATGTGTTCCCACATCATGGACGGATGCAGGCAAAGAAGCTAGTCCATGAAACTAAAATTAGGTTAGGATAGTGGAATGTAGGTTCTCTTACATGCAAATTAATGAAATTAATTGATATTATGATTCATAGAAATATAAATATTCTAATCATTCATGAAACTAAATGTGTGGGAGAGAAGGCTAAGGAGATTGATAGTTTAGGGTTTAAACATTGATATTTTGATAGAAGTCGTACTAGAAATAGTGTAGTTGTGATTATAGATATGAGTTTGAAAGATAATATTGTAAAAATTGATAGAATTGAATATATAATTATAGCTTTGAAGATTATTGTTGGTGATAAGTTTATTAATATTATAAGTGCTTATGCTCAAGTAGATTTGGATATATGCTCAAAATTAAAATTTTAGAATGACTTAGAAGAATTAATACAAAAGATACATCTTGAAAAAATAATGTTTATTGGGGGAGATTTAAATGGACATGTTGGTAGAGAGGTAGAGAATTTTAAAAGTATTCATGGTGGCTATGAGTTTGGAGCGACTAATAAAGGTGGTAAGACTATGTTAAATTTTACTCTAGCTTATGATTTTGTTATTGCTAATACTTTATTTAAGAAAAGAGATGATCATCCATCACTTACAAGAATGGATATAATAAAACTAAGATTGATTATTTTCTTGTTAGAAAAAGAGATTGTTTAGATTGCAAAGATTGTAAAATTATTATGAGTGAAACTCTGTGTATCAAACATTGCTTATTAGTTTTGGACTTTAAGATGAAGAGGCAGAGTATGAACAATATAATATATTGTTGTTCTAGGATTAGATGGTGACATTTAAAGAACTCTAACAAAAATATTTTTGAGAGTAAGATTCACGTTCTTAAGATTTTGTCGGTGCATGAGGAGGCTAATGTTATTTAGGAAATAATAACTTGTAATATTAAGAATGTTTCAAAGGATGTGCTTGAAATATCAAAAGGAAAAGTTTCTAATAGTAAAAAAAATTGATGGTGGAATAAAATATGCAATAAAAGATAAAAAATAAGAAGCTCTATTAAAAAAATTGTTTAGATGTAAAATTTTGAAAATTGGGAAAGCTATAAAGTTACCCATAAGGAGTCTAAGAAAACATTCTACGATGCAAAGGCTTTAGCTTTTAATAATTTATATAATAAATCATATATTAAAGATGACGAAATATATATTTATAAGCTAGCTAAACAAAGAGATATGAGCAGTAAGGACTAAGGATTTAGTTTAAGTGAAGTGCATCAATGATGAAGATCAAAAAGTACTTTTTTTAGAAGAGGATACTGAACAAAGGTGGATGAGATATTTTGCTAAGCTTTTCAATGAATATTTGTGAAAATATGATTGACTTTAGTGACCTTAACACTCTAAATGAAAATACAAATTTTTGTTTTTATCGGTATATTACTAAACTGAAGTTAGAGAGGCTTTAAAGAAAATAAAGTGTGGGAAAGCTGTTGGAATGCTTAGGAGAATAGAGGTGTGGAAATGCTTAGGAGATAAAAGAATTTTTTGGCTTACTAAACTTTTTAATATTATTTTGAAGACCAAAAAGATGCCAGATGTGTGGAGAATGAGTTTGGTGATTCATATCTTTAATAGTAAAGGTGATGCACAAGATTGTGTAAATTATAAAAGAATTAAGTTGATGTGTCATACTTTAAAACTATGGGAGAGAGTTGTGGAGCATATTTTACTACATGATACTACTTTTCTTAAAATCAATTTGGATTCATGCCGGGTAGGTCTACTATTGAAGCCATACATTTATTGAGAAATTTGATGGAGAAGTATAGAGAGAAAAAGAAAGATTTTCATATGATATTTATTGATTTAGAGAGCATAGGATAAAGTTCCAAGAGAAGTGCTATGGAGAGTTCTAAAAAAAAAAGGGATTACTAATGTTTATATTCAAGTTATTAGGGATATGTATGCTGGAGCTGTTACTTGTGTTCAAACACAAGGTGGTTTGACCAAGTATTTTCCAATTTCAGTTGGATTACATCAAGGATCAACCTTAAGCACATATCTTTTTGCTTTTGTCATAGATGTTTTTACTAGAGATTTGCAAGAGGATGTTTCCTAGTGGATCATGTCACTGCATTCATCACAATCTTCTTGGGTATATTCCTTCCCTTAGGTATGTTTGTAGGATATTTGTCAGCATCGTTGTCCACAAACAAGTTAGCATGCTTGCCATGCATTGTTCTCTTTTGTTGGTGTATTGTCTTGAAGTTGAATCGTTGCTAATGATAGAGATGTTGTTGCATTCCCTCATGCCCACTTTTGCAAAAGTCCTTAATGAGGTTGACCTCGGAGAAATTTGTGATTGCTCATTGAATCTTTGATGGAAAAGCTAGAATTATCAAAAAAAATGGAGTAAGGATTATCGAAAACTAGTTTATGAATAAAAAGAAGATTGTTAAAAAGATTAGGAACATGAAATAGGGGATGAAGATGTATCTACGTTGTGGAGTGGGGAGTATTCCTTGACTAGTATGTGTAATTGGAAGCAAATCTCCATTACTGATTTGAACATGCTGTGATCCAATGTAACGCCAGGCATTGCGAAACTGAGTTGCATCACGAGTCAAATGAGAGGTTGCAACCAGAATCTAATATCCATTTGGTAGTGGCTTGAGCATCATTTGCAAGCATAACTGAGAAATCGGTATGGAAGCGAATGTCCAGGCTTACCACTGATTTGACATTTGACATAAGTTAAATAATTTCGGCCACCACTAGCGGTAGAACATTAAATTGAATATTGAGAAGTTGAGCTGCATAATGTCAAAAGTTAAGGTTTCTAAAGTTGAAAATGATTAACATTGAGTCAAATATTGATGTTGGCTTCAACATTCGTCTTGAGAAATTTGATCTGAATAGGGATTGAAATCTCTCCCATCTTAGTAGGTGGTTGAGATTGAAGAAGGGTGTTATTGGTGGAAGATGAAATAGTCTCCATTTGTGAAGAAATACAGACCAAGAGATGAAAAACCATAAATACTTAATGCTACTGCAGCAGAATGAAAAAAATGTAAACACCAACACCAAGAAATGCATCGAGCTATGTGTTAGACCGGTCCAGCCGGTCCACACGGGACCGGCTCAGGCGGAAGTGTCTGCCTCTCTTGTACGCTGATTCGATCGCCCAAGCACCGCAGAGCTGTTTAGGAGGGAGTTAGGAAAATTTGAATGTAGGGACTGTTTAGAGGTTTTCTTTTAGATTGTGTGCATTAAATAATTTGTTTTCCTAGAGTTAGGGTATCTTGAATTTGGCTAAAATGTGAGATCTCTTAGGCTTTTTGGGCTCTAGCAGCGTCTAGCGATTTGGGAGAGATAGATCCTCCTCTCGAATAGAGGATCAATTGTATCTTGCTATTTGCTTCCGTTAGTTTGATTATCGCAATAAAATTATTGTTTTTCTGATTTATCCTTTGAATTTGTGGATCGTTCTCGCTGATTTCATTAAGATAGTTAGGTTTTATTTGGGAATTTCAAGTATTTCCTAACACTGATACCATGATAAAAGCTTCCACAAACAGAGCAGATAACTCTAAGAAAATTGAGCAGGAATAAATCAATGGTCAGATAACAGTCCTTTTAATATATCCATGTTTCTCTTAAACCCAATTTCTCTGATGTGTTTCGAACAGTAACTTCATTCTTATTACTTGATTTTGTTTATTCATTCCTTTGAGCTTTTTCGAGTTGCTGAATTGGTTTATTTGTTCCTTTCAGCAGCAGTATGCGGAAAGAAAAGCTCCAGAGGAGACAAGAAAGGCGCTGAAAAGGCCAAAGAAACGATCAAAGAAAGAACACTAAGTTTTGATGAACCGTCTTCAGATTGCTCGTTAACGATTTTAATAACTGCAGCTCAGCTTTGTAGTGTTTATAACACCAATCTGTTTGTAAACTACAGTTGTACCCTCTTTTTCCTTTTATGATATATGTATTGATGTGATATATATGACGTTTTTGATGAGGTACTTATTAAATAAAAGTGAAAGAAGGAAATATCTTTTTGTTTTGAGTAGATTATCAGAAGGAAGAATTGGTACTCTGACCATGCCTGAGCAGGCTGGTTTATAGTTTTAAATCAACTCAACATGACCCGAACTAATAACTGTAGCACAATAAAGCGAAAAAAATAAAAATAATGTACTCCTACAAATTTGTTATGAATATTGTGGAATTATTTCTCTTGGAAAATATATGAAAATAATTTTCTTATAAATATTGTACTCCTACAAATTTGATCATAAAAAAATTCATTATCTTCATAATTTTCTGTTTTGAAAATTGATAAGTTATAGCAAAATAAAAATGTGAAAATTTGTTTAAAATGTCCCATTATTTTCGAAGTTGAAGAAATGTACCATTTGTTTAAATTCTTGTGCAAATATACCCAAAAATTCAGTCTGCATCAGGAAGAGATACTCTACTTTATACAACTTTTCATGCAAGAAATTGATTGATCTCTTCTATTAGTATTGTCTTCTTCTACGATAGTTCTCTTTAACGAATGATATATGGTTCTGAAGTAAAATTCTAATGCATGATTTTTATCTTCGTCTGTGTCTCTAGCTAGCTAAGGATTATCAGTGAAGGTTATTGATGCTTTTATGTTTATATTATGAAAGATAAACATAGAAGGGTATTATGTATCATCTTTGAACATTGTTCCGAATTTAATTAGACACTGATTGGAACATGTTCATCACATGATCAAACATTCCTAAAAAAAGTTGAAGCTTATTTGTATTTTGAAACTAAGATCAAATAATAATGAAAGAAAGTTCAATCAAGATTCAATCAAGGTTCTCAAGTTTTGGTTAGTACTAGAACATTGCTCAAATAACTCCTAGTAAGTTTGATCAAGTTTTGATAATAAGTTTGATCAAGTTTTGATAATTTGTTTAATGACAACTTGAACAAAATTTGAATTTTTTTTTTTTTGCACTCTACTTATCTTTTATGATTAACTCATTTGAGATGTGCAATGCATATAAATCTATATTCGAGTTACATATAGAGCTGGGGTGTGAAGAAGGAAATTATTAGACGTTTTGAGTCATTCGAAGCTTATGACTTCATTGTGTTGTATATAAGATGCAAGCACATAACTTCCGACTATGTAAGTGTTAAATATACATGTAGAAAGGCATTACATTGCTTTTAGTGAGATTGTCGTTTTTTACTAAATGTGCTACTAATATCAATGAATTTGTTTTTGAAGATTAATAGGAAGCTTGATGGTTATAATTCATAGTTACAAGTTAAATATACATTTGTTATTTCTTGATAAAAATGATTTCAATCCTGTTGATCTTCAAAAGCATATTTTATAATGATGTAAATGTGACTATATTAGGCACTTTATAGTGATATATTTATATTATAGATGTTATTCTTGCATTTGGTTGTAACACAATTTTTATCTATTTTGTTGTAGACATTGCGACTTAATATATTATTGTAAATAATTGTAATAAGTTATTTTAGTATAAGGACATTATTTTTTTTTCTGGTTGTGTTTGCCTTATTGTTTATTATGTTATTGTTGTTGTGATTGCATTTTGTTGTATTATACTACGATGTTTAACATTGAACAAATCTTATTTGAACTTACAAATCAACCATTTAATAAATTTTTTAGATAATATCTTATTTGAAACTAAATTGAGCTATATTTGAACCATGATTGAAAAGTTTTGAATATGAAGTATTAATATTTGATTTGAATTCGAATAATATTGGATCATGGATCAAATGTTTCATCGCATAGTTTCCAACCTTGATTGAATATTTTTTGAACAATATTTAAAAGTTTGTTTAATCAAATTTTATTGTGATGTATTAAAAAAGTTTGTTTGGAGTCTTGAACATGTGTATTTTGGTATGAATTTAACTTTTAGGTGTATTTCTAAAAAAAAAAAGAAATAACACGCATATTTTTTCAATTTCGAGTATTATGGGGCTTTTATGTTTAGGTCAACTTTCCCCATATATACACAACTCAACGCATTTAAAGGTCGTTGAACATACTTAAAAAATTGGCTTCAAATTTATTTCGGAGAACACATAAGAGTAAAGTAATGTAAACTATTATCAAATGACAATCTCATTATAATGATTCTAGCAACTCCAAAATTCATGCATGAAGGGGTCTCAAATTAGCTTGAGCTAATTTGTTTGCCTCCTTGCCCTGTCACATAAAAAGGAACGAATGTGGAGGGGCTTTGGCTGCCAACTTTGAGGTCTTCAGTTTGAGTCTTGTATATGTGATGTGTGTGTAAGTTTGCCTTAATTGGCTTAAATGCCAAAAAAAAATTGTTGTAGACATTATCATCCGCTTCATTGACAGCTTCCAGAGGGCCATCAAATTAGCCAAAATGGAAAGTACTTGTATCCTAACTTATAATACTCCTAAATGTCAATTTTTGACGAATTTGAAATTCACTCAAATCAAACAAATTTAATAAAGCAGTTTTTTAGGCCTAATTTTTATTTTTATTTTTATTAAAAAGTCATTTTAAGAAGCAATAATAAAACTGTTCGAGAAGAAGCCAAAATCTAAGTGAAGATATGGTAACTCAAACGTGAGCTTAATATGTGTAGTTGAAATACACATTATCTTATATACTCGCAATCAAATAACCGCTAACGCCATTTGATTCCTTGAGATCTACATGACTAATCAATGAGTTCTTTTATCACACTAATTTTCAAAGAAATCCTATGCTCCTATATTTCATCTTGATGAAGATATGCTAAATCAATTATAAGCTTAAAAAAGTTGTGGTTTATTTTGATATGAAGATGTGGACTACGATATTTAATTATTTTTGAATAACTTATAATTTAATAATTTAAATTAATAAAAAATTATAATAATTTAAATATTAAAAATTTAAGAGGATATATATAATTTAAATAATTATATGTGTATAAATTAAAATAAATATTCCCCCTTTGACCCTTTCCTCCAAAAATCCTAGTCCTTCATGCCACCAAAATTCTTGATGCCCTCTACGACAAACAAGTGAGGAGTCACGACAAGAGCTCGCCGCATATGGCTTTGGCAAGATTAGTTATATGGGAAGGAGAAGAGGAGTTCGTGAGAAGCCTGGATTTAAGATAAAGCCATCGAATCCACGGATTTTGTGAATCCGGAATTCAAGGCATGTTTGGATGCAGATAGGATTTAATTTAAATAAGATTTTGTTAATCCTCTAAATCAAGTTTTACTAAATCTTGGGAGGGTTAAATCCTAAAACCTATTTGGTAAGAAATATGTTAAATCTTGACAAATCTTGTGAGGCTATTTGGCAATGCTAAATAGGATTTAAAGCATTAACTCATATAAAATTTATGTTTTAAATATGAGTTACTTATTAATTCTAACTTTAATTAATGCCAATAAATTATAATTATAAATACTATATCAATGCTAATTATAATGATAACTATCTAAATAAATATTTTAGTTATAATTTTAAATAATTAATCATATAATTACTATTTACACTTCTTATTTCATTAAAATTTATATATTATTTTATTAATTTTTATATATTATTTTAATAATTTTAATTAATAAATACTTATAATTATCAAATTAATCAATTAAGCATTCTATTAATAACTAATTATTTAATTAATATTTACATCACTAATCATCAAATTAAGTATTTATAATTTAAAATATATAAATTAAGCTAATTAAATTAATGCTTATTAAGTAATTAAGAATTAATTTAATGCGAGCTAGCTTTCCCTCTTTGGTTTCTTCATTGTCGTTTGTGTGAAGTAGAGCTTCCCTCTTCGGCTTCGCTGGTTCGCATGGGGTAGATCTTCGAACGAGTCGCTTGCCATTGCATGTCTAGGGTTTGCTTTTCCTGCATTTTATTCGATGTTGTTCTGCTTCGCGTGAAGTAGAGTTATGAAAGAGTTGAAACTTCTCCGTCTCATCATCTGACATTGTTCCTATTGGATCAGAAGTTATGCCGGGGGAGATCGCCCCAAAGGTAACGATATTTCTTTCCTTTCACATGCTTCTTCGATCAAATTTATGAAATTCGCAAAAAGTCGGATTCACGAAATTCGGGATTTGGTGCCAAAAATGCCGTGAAGTGGTGATTAGGGCATCTCCAATGGATACGCAAACGAGTGTTTGCCGTGCTCAATGTCGCTCCAACGGAGTGCTATTTTCTGCGGCATAAGGTCGCCAGTGAACAGTGCGACGCCATATTTGGCGTCGCACTGTTCACCCGCCATTTGCCTTTTTTTTTTTTAATGATTAAAAAGATGTAAAATGAAATATGGAGAAGAATATACTAGGAATATTCTTTTTTTG